TTTATCCTGACGGGAGTGGAGCAATGGCCCGGCGACCTCCCGAGCGGGATCCGCGCCGCCGCGCCACCCCAGTGCCCGGCTGCGAGAGCTCCCAGCCCCGCCGGCCCGAGCGCCTGGCACCCGGACAGCCTCCCGTTAGCTTTGCTATTCCCTCGCTTGCTTTTTGCCTCTCGGGGGTTAGGGTGGATTTTAGACACCTACCCGACCTGTCCTGACACTGTCCCAGCTAGGACACTTAACATGACCGCTGGGATGACACGTCTCCCTTTGCCCTCGGCTACCTGAGAGCAGTCCCAGCACAAACCCATCGCCCCAGAATTTCTCTTCCTCAGACCTTGCACTCACGAGCACCATTAGCACGCCTCAATCCTGAGCTTGTGCTCGGTTACAGCGCAGTGCAAGGAGTATGCCAGAGGGAGATGCAACCTGTGGCGAGAAACTTCTCGTCTCTAGCGACTTTTAGTCTCCACTTTCCTTGGAAATTTGCCTTTCCCGCCCCGCTACTCAGTTGTCGAGCTCACGTATCAGGGAGTCTTTAACAGGTTTCGGGCTTTTATTTTATTTTTTTTTCTGTTTCTTTCCTACACCTTATGGAAAAACAGGCGAGAACTTTAATCTCTTAGGTATATGGTATGCCTTGCATTTACGTACATGGTATGCTTTGCATCTAGGACAAAATTCACGAACTGTTTATCTTATCAAAATCTCTCTCTCGTGTCAGAAGGGTCCTCGTAGACAGGTGTTATGCTGACTCTGAACACATAGCTCCCTACAAACATAACGTGTGAGCGTGTACAGTGTTTTCGCCATTCTCCCCACCCTGTTTCTAGTTTATTTCTTTCCCACCCTTCATCCTCACAGAGTCTGGGAAAGCCGCTGCTGTTTAGACTTTGTCTGTGTCTAAGGCAGGACATTTTAACACAAATTTGAACAGGGCTGGGGCAAAATATGTTTTGACTGGCGTCATTTTGACAAGGTCATCCGTCATCTGCTGTATAGATTGATAACACCTAAATTAAAGGCAAACACGAGTAGAAACCCCCCCAACTCCCATTTTTAGGGGTTATAAAGTAGGATAAAAACGTCCTCTTAGTCTTTGATCAATTCCAAAGTGCAATATGCAATAATTTTTATGCCTCTCTCTCTATTAACTTGCTTTCTGAAGTTCTGCAGCGCTACTGCTCACTTGAGGGACAGAGGTGCGGGCTGGGAGTCTGTTCGCACCGTCGCTGCCGGGCGCGTAGTGTGGTGTTGGGTACACTGACAGTGGGCGCGCTTGTCTTTCTCTGTTTTCATTGCGTTGATACAATGTCTGGTCCCTACGCAGCTCCTTCCTAGTCACGATTTTATTCCCCCCATCCGACTCTTTCTTTTTTTTTTTTTTTTTTTTTTTTTTTTTTTTTTTTTTTTTTTTTTTTTTTTTTTTTTTTTTTTTTTTTTTTTTTAAGTTGCACATCTCTGCTATGGTTGTTTTCCTTTCTGTACTTCTTTTGAAAATACTAAATTGCTTTCGGTGGTAGCAATCTCTAAAAATTCGTTTCACGCTAGAAAAACGTGATGAAGTAGAGGTAAGATSCTTACTAATGGACTTAAGTACATTGTCAATACCTGCATTTGCTTGGAGTTGTTAACAGAAGTATTCCGTAAGGGGTCATATTCAGGAGTACTCCAATCTGTTGCTTTTGCTACTATTTTAACAGACAGAAAAGTAGCTCTTTGAGCGATCAAGGTGGCAGAGTAAAATTTATAGGCTCCCTTGACATTTCGGGACCCTGCTGAGCCGAAGAAAAGGAAGAAAGAAGGCTCGCAGTCCTTGCCGGTTGTCAGGCCGTGCGGGCGGCACGGAGGGAGCCGGTCYCTCCGCAGCCCGGGCCCCCGCCCCTGGCTCTGTCCCTGCTCCGCTCGCTCGGGCGGAGGCGGCGGGGGTCGGCGGACACATTGCGCCTTGTCATTTGGCTCTTTCCTTAGCGACAAGAAGCCCCGCAGCGCCGGGTCCCCTCGGCCCAGGGTGGGAAAGGAGGGGAGAACCCGCGGGGAAGGGCGGTGAGTAGCGGGTCAGCGCCGGAGCCCAGAGGCGGACGGGGACAGCCGGGCTCCGGGCGTCCGGCCGGCGGGAAAGGGAGCGGCGTGTCTCGCCAGGACACAGGACGGCTTCTCTCACAGCCTCTCCAAAAACATCGCTGCTCTCGGCGCCTTCGCTCCCTCGGGAAGAGCAGAGCAGGCAGACTCTCCAGCAGAGCTCCCAGCCCTGAACCTGCTCCTCCCCGGGGTGGCTTTAGCCAACCCTGACCTCTGGTCTCGCTTCCCCAGGCAGAGCGGTTTGTGCGCGTCCCTTCTGTCTCTCCCGAGTTGTTCTGTCTGTTACTATTCCTTGGGTTTGCTTTTGTCTTGAGGTGTTTTCTTTTTAAAAAAAATTATTTTATTTTTTGCTCCAGAATGCACAGATGAGAGGGGGGAAAAAGAAAGAAGGCTTCAACTACTGTCACCTCCTTCCTCTTCTCTCAGGCTTTTTCACTATTTAGAGGACGAGTGCTGAAACAAATCACATTGACCGTTTAGAAGGCGATCAAACCTTTATAAAAATCCATTGCCTACGAATCGATTGGTGAATATTTGCTAGGAATTTGTTCAAAAGAAATAAATAAGGAGGGTAAGTGTATTAAATGCAAAGGGGGAACACGGTGGTGTTTTTCTTCATTGATTAATGACCTCTAAAATAAAACAAGCGGGAAGAGGAGCCAAGATCGATAAATTAACTACCCAAATTCATCATTTTCCCTGCGATTGTTTTTTTGGGTTTTTTTCTTTTTCCTTTTAGGGTGTTTGGTCGGGGTTGTGTGGGGTTTTGTGGGGATTACTTTTGGCTGGTTGGGTTTTGTTTTGTAAACAACTCTTATGAAGGATGCCYTTCTCTTTAGAAACTCGAAGGCTTTATTTTAGGCTTAGATTAGAAAACGGAGCTAAACCCCTTTTAGAAAGGGATTGAATCGGGGACACCCTATCTGATTTCGTTTGACACACAATTAAAAAGTTTGCCTTTCATATTAATTAATTCTCCTGATCTGGGGAAGACAAATGGTCGGTTACCTCTGACAGGAGTCCGATAAAGGATTCAGCAGCTTTCCTTCTTGCCCTAGGCGTCTCCTCATTCCAGTTTTAAGGTCACGAGCGGCCGAGTTAATAATTCATTAATATAGACATTTATTCAGATGGGATTCACGGGGATTCGCGCTCTCCTGCATCTCACCATTCGGATTCCAGTTCCCCTCGAAGAGAAGAAGGAGGGAAAGGAATGGGGGAAGGCTCTACACAATGGCTCTACACGGACCTATTTCTACACACGTGTTTAAAACGTGGTGCTCCCACCGCGAGTCCCGCMGGGGCAGCCCAGCCCCGCTCAGGCGGGCGCCGCTCCCCAGGCCCAAGCGGCGGCCGAGGGCAGGGCGGCCTTGCGGCACCCGCCGCCTCCCGAGCCCTTCCCGAGGTGAAGCCAAGCACTGCCCTCTCCCTTCTACTTCCCTGGAATCAGAAAGCGCCCGAGCCGCGGCGAGAGTCGGTGAAATTGACCGAAAAAGCCGCTGGCAGCACGCCCCGGGGCCGGGCTCAGGATGCGCAGCAGAGAGGGCTGCGCGGAGCCGGGGCCGGGGGTCGTTGCGGGGTGTGGCTGTCGGGGGTCTTTGTCGGGGGTCGCTGTCGGGGTCGCTACAGGGTGTGGCTGTCGGGGGTCGCTGTCGGGGTCGCTGCGGGGGTCGCGTCCCGCGGGTCCTCGGGCAGTGCAGAGGCCGGAGGAGCCCCCGGGGGGCAGCCTGGGGCCGGGGTCGCTGCCGCCGCTGCGGACCCCCCGGGCCCTGGGATGCCTCAATGCCCCACCGACCCCCCGTGAGACACGGGCCAGGCTGCCCTGCTGCCCTTCCCGAGGCGCCCGGGGGCTGAAGGGGCTCCTTCCCCAAAGGGAGCGGCTTCCTTTCCCTGGGAGCAGCGAGTAGGAGGCTGGCCGAGGAAGGAAAGGAAAACACCTGGCACGTGGAACTGGACAGCGATTGTTAAATGATTTGGCAGTGGTCACGAGGCAGATGCCAGCCAGCTCCATAATGACTTTCTGCCACTATTGACCTGATACGGATGTGAACTAGTGACCCTTGGGGCGAAATGCGCTATAGTCTATTACCAATTCCCCCAGCCACCAAATCCTCCTTACAGACAGACTCAAATACTTATGCCTGTCAACAAAAGAAGCAAGGCACACTGCAGACGGGATGAGAAAAGGAATTCTCAGTTGTAAAGACCAAATAAAAATAAATCAAGTCATGGCATGAAGAAAGTTGCCACGAGAAATTTGGGTTAATTTCATCCCTACTTTCACACAGAGCCCATCTGAAAGTATTCTCAATTATTCAAGAATCATACAGGTCTTTACTTTAGGCTCTTTTTTTTTTTTTTTTTTTTTTTTTTTTTTTTTTTTTTTTTTTTTTTTTTTTTTTTTTTTTTTTTTTTTTTAAACACGAAGACAGTGTTTGATCTATAATGTAGCACTTCAAGGTGTATTTCCCGAAATGGTTCTAGAACTTAAAATCTACCCTCTGGGTGATAACAGGATTAATCAGCAGAATCCTTTAGTTACCTCTAACATCTTTTATGGTGTTTTGAGTTTTGCAGGTTGAGTGTACACCCTTATAGGTAGTCCATTCAACAATTTCAAACACGTGTAAGGGAGCAGTCTGAAAGGCAAACCTCCTTTAAAATCCCTGATGTCAAGCCTTCCAAAACCAAGTGACTCAACATTTTGAATGTGACTCTGGGTGTCTACTTTAAGCAGCAAAACAGGCTAGAGAGTTTTYCTTTCCTGTATCTAAAAATATCTCTCAGAAATACAGAATCTATTAAGTATGATTGTTTGCATATGACATAAGAATKATAAGGTCTGGATGAAACTGCCATAATATTTGCAGAAATAAATGGTAATTATGGACTTTTTTTCCAATTTTTGGTGTAGTACCATAATCATGACTCAATGCTTTGAATGGAAAAACCTCACAAATTTTGTCTTTCATTTAAGTGCTTTTTCACAACTTACAGATTTCTCTAGGCCTGAACTCTATCAGTTTGTTTTGGTGGGGAATTTCCTTTGGTGGGGGGAGGGAACATAAGGGTGACTTGGAAAGACAAATGCCATCAACTGAAAAAATACATCCTTTATGCCTTCTTCTCCCCACTTTGTGTACTGACCATGATGGTCTGGAATATCCCTTTGGCCAGCTGATGTCACCTGTCCCAGCTGTKTCTCCTCCCAACCTCCTGTGCACYCCCA